TAGCCGTTAGATCGTAGAGAGGCTAGGGCAGGCTAATGCCTCTCTAGAAACAAGAATAAATGTACAAGAATAAATTAGTAAGTAAATATATAACTATATAACTAGTAGTGTTAAAAAAAGGAGAGTAGTAGCGACTTTGTAGTGTAGTAGAGGCGCGTAGCTAAACTACGAGATTTTTGTTATACATTACACTTTTTTAGATCTCTGCCTTATACCTCTTACATTTACTTTTAGTAAAGACACCTTACATTAAAGTACTAGTAAGTCGCTAGGTAGTCGTAAGACCCCTAATACATAGTATAAACCGTATTACCTAGGCGTACTAGTATTCCTTACTCTTTTACTACTTTTAGAAATCCTTTATTACTCCTTACTAGAAGGTTAATAGTACACTAATAGTAGGTAGCCGTAGAGATTAAACTGTATTACTTATAATCGTATTTTTTAAGTAAATATAGAAAAACACCTCTTTTGTCTTTCTTTACTTAGTCTCTTTCTTATAGCGCTAAGAGGTATATAGAGACTTGTTTTTACTAGTTTGTTGTCTTCTTTTCTTCTTTTCACCTTATACGAATATAACACTACTACGCCCCCTTTTCTTACGACTCCTCTAACAAACCTTAATTAAACTACTAACGATGACATAGCTCTATTAAAGCGCTTAGTAGTATATAAACAGCTTTATAAGACCTTTAAGGTACTACCCTAAAGTATAAAGATAATAACTATAAGTATCCTTTCTTAGTAAAGAGTAACGGCCTAATAGTATAGTAGCTATATTAGTAAAGTACGTTTATTATAAGAACTTAAAGAAGGAATGTATTTCTATAAGTATAACCCCTCTTAGGGCGACGCTCTCGTGTCGTAGCTTTATTAACGTTACTAGGTCGTTACAACCTTTTAAGCTAGAGGAATCAAGCTTTAGAAGGTAATTACGAAAAAGGATAAGGTAAGGTAGTCTATAGTTTATAGTAAAGTTAAAGCTAACACAAACAGGCCGTGATCTATACTATATAGACTTTTATTAAAAAAAGTCTTTAATACTTAAAATTAAAGTCCTTAATGTCGGCTAAGAAGCGAATTTGTAGTAATAAGGTAAAGAAAGAGAAGAGGATAGAGAAGAAGTTAGTATATCTAGCTAAAATTACTAAGTAGCTAGAGCTTTAAAACAAAGTCGTAATAGTAGCGAACATAAAGGTAGATTAAAAAAAATTAGATTACTAAAGACGCGTTATAAGTATAACGTAACTACGTTACTATGTTTAAGAGGTATATAGTACATTTCGAGAAAGTTATAAGTATCCCTTTCTTAAAGTAAAGTCGCTACTAATTTAAAGCTAGTACGCCTATAATCTGTAACGATTAGAGGGTAGTAAAGAACTAAAAGATACTGCCGGGAATAGTAATAAAGAAAATAATAGTAGAAAGGATAGTGATAATAATAATGTTAAGGACAAATAATAGTTAAATGTAGGTTAAAGCGTCTTTAATAAGTAGGATCGTACTTTAGATTTTTTTTTTCTTTTTCCTTTTTCTAAGATATATAATAATAAAGTCGACAGAGCCTCGTAAGGTCTTTACTAGTAGAAGGGTAGTTCGGTGTTTTTTCTCTTAAGATACCTAGGTTTCTAAGTTTTTATATAATAAATACAGAAGTCGTACTTACTTTACTACGACTACACTAGTAACATTATGCCTTTTTAACGATTATCTTAATGTGTTTGTTTATATTTACGTAGAAGTAGACTATCGTTAAGGTTCTGTCGTGGTTCCTACGAGTTTTCTAAATCGTTATATCCTTTTTATTTTATAAGAAAGAATCTGTTCCTTTAAGGGCCTTTATAGACAAGAATAGCTTTTACTTTAAATGTTTCTTTGTCTAAGACTAAGATGTTTAGTATTAGGCTTATAAGGACTTTGCCTTTTTGTACCCTATAGGGTTCTAGACTTGTAATTATAAAGGTAGGATGTAGCTATACTAACGATAGGAGGCGTATTCTATAGGTAAGTCTATAGTCTCTAATAACGTCTTTAATTTAGTAAAGGCTACTTAATATACTTATCTACAAACTTCCTAGAGGGTTAACGTTGTCTTAGATGTTTTGTTAACAAGAGTACCTAGTCTCTTTTTTTAAATAAAATCTTTTTCTAGTTCTAGTTATACTATTTCTTATACTGTTTTTAAGAATACTAAAGGAATATAACAATTCCTTTATAACTACTTTATAGCTACTCTACTTGTGTATTAGCTACTAGCGCCTTTACTAGCTTTAACTAGTTTAGAGGTATGTCCTTAAGACCTTACGGCTAGTACTTATATAAGGCGTACAATAGTGTTCCATTTATTATAGAGTGTTATAAGGTATTGTATACAAATTTAGTAAGATCTAGCTTAGTTACCTAGTCGTCTTGTATAAAGCTATAGTAAGTTCAAAAGTAATACTTAATAGCTTAGTTCTACTATTCTGTCTACCTGTTTGTTTATAGGTAATAAGTAGTACTAAGTCGCCGTAATGTCGTTAGGTACTAGTAAAAACTACTCTAGAATTTACTTATAAAGAAAGAGCCTTAGTCTAAGACAATACTGTCTAGAATTCTAAATTGTCGTATAACGTAGTGTATTAAGAGAGACACTAGTCTGTCGCTAGTAAGACGATTAGTTATTAGAATATATAAGGAAAATTTTATAAATTAGTCTATAATAATAAGTATTAAATTATATAGTTTGCCTACTATATTATAAGAGTAAGGTAGCTACGTAATAAAGTTAAGTAAGATCTCTTACTAAGGTTTAGAAGGAATAAAGAGTAGGGCTAACTCGCTATATAGTAGATAGGTCCTTGCCTTTATTCTTTAATAGATAGTGTAAGTAGAAATGTAATAGTAGACGTCTTTATTAAGACTTAGCTAGAAGAAGGATTAGAAAAGCCTTTTCTTTGTTTTACTAACTCTTTAGTACCTTATAGTAGGTACGTTATAAAAAAGCTTTAGTAACTCCTTACGTAAGCCCGGATTATTAGGTATATATACACGTCTATAATACTATAGTAGCGTATTATCCTTGAACGTCTATAAGGACCTAGTAGTACCTTAGCTACCTTACTACTTCTTTTACTCTTTATTAGTAATAAAGGCGTCCCTTTACTACGTATTATAAAGGGCTTTTAATAGTAACAGTAATAACGTTAACGTTACTATTACCTAGCTATTACTCTTACTAGCCCGACTCTAAGTAGAGTTCTCTACTAGTATAAGAGTGTTTAATTCGTGACTCGATACTCTAGTAATAAAAGCGTAAGGTCCTTAAGACCTACGATCGCCTTAGTCTACTAGCTAGTATAAGTCTAGCCTTTTACGCTAAAGTGATTCTACTAAGACAGTATACGTTAAAGGGGTCGCTAGACCTTTAAAAGGAATAAAAAGAATTAAAGGAACAAAAGGAATTAGAAGAATAAAAGAAATAAAAACTTTGTTTTAAACAAGCCTTATAGTAAGACTAACAGCTTGAAAGGTAACTACGTTTACCTAGAATTTGTTAAGGAAAGTTACTAAGAGAGCTTGTTACGCCTCTAATTACTTATTAGGATCTTGTAAGTTAGGTCGTTACGATAACCTATTAGTAGGGTTTTAGCTACCCTTTTTGTATTTAATCTTAAAGTTAAAGACAGAAAGTTCCTCTAGCTATCTAGCTTATCGCTATAACAACTTTAGCTTTATAGAGAGGTAATAGTAGTTTAAGTAGTCTATTAAAACTAATACTAAACTTTGTATATATACTAAGTACGGCCTCTATAACCTAAAAGCCTTAACAATAGCTATTAACTTAGCGTTAAGGGTGTCGTAGCGTAGCTCTAGCCTCTTTAACTTTCTAGAAATAAACGTAACAAGGTACTAGCGGCCTTTTTATAGCTATAAAAGGACAGTACTAATAGTATAAGTACCTTACGGCCTTATTTATATAATTTAACCTAGACTTAAGATAATATTAAATATATCTTAAAACTACTTAAAACTAGGTTAAAACTAGTTTTAACTTAGTTTTAACCTAGTTTAACTTAAATTTAACCTAGTTTTAAGTAGTTTTAAATAGTTTTAAAACTTTCTTAACTCTAGTTTTATCGTAATAACACACGATTATTATTAAATCGATTTAGAGATTTAACCTAGTTTTAAGGATTTAACCTAGCTTAAAACTAGGTTAAAACTAAGTTAAAATACTTTAAGCTACCTTAAGCTAGATTTTAAGAGTTAAAACACATTTAAAGAGTTAATTAATAAATTAATAATTATCTATCTATCTATTTATCTATCTATCTATCTATAAAAACAGTTAATTATAAGGGTATTTATAAAGGTAGTTGTAAGGGTAGTCGTAAGGGTAGTCGTAAAGAGGTCTATAAAACAATATAATTAGTAAAGGTAAATAAAGTAAGGGTAGAGAGACGATCTATAAGGGTAACAGAGGGCTGTCGAGAACAGAGGGCTGTCGAGGGTATTCGCGAAGGCAGAGGGCTGTCAAGAATAGAGGGCTGTTAAGAACAGAGGGCTGTCGAGGGTATTCGCGAAGGCAGAGGGCTGTCAAGAATAGAGGGCTGTTAAGAACAGAGGGCTGTAGAGGGTATTCGCAACGCGCTTGTTTACATGTAAACAAAGCCAAATCTCGTAGCCTAGTCACGTGACATAAAATCACGTGACATTATACTTACTATATAAGTGTCTAGAACTAGGTATCTTTTATAAAGTACTTTACTTAAAAACTAAGTTAAATCTAGTTAAATCTAGTTAAATCTAGTTAAATCTAAGTTAAATCTAAGTTAAATCTAGTTAAACTTAATTAAATTTATTTAAATTTATTTAAATCGATTTAAGACTTAGTTAAAACTTAGCTAAAACTACTTAAAACTATTAAAATCTAGCTTAGAATAAGTTAAAACCTTTTAAAACTAGATTAAAACTAAGTTAAGCTTATAAATCTAAGTTAATATAAACTTAATACTAGGTTAACTATCTCTTAAATTAAGAGTAGTCAGCCTGTAAGTAGTAGATATATCTATTTCTACGCGCGTAAGTAGTTTAGGGTTATAGTAACGTAAGAAAGAGGCCTTTACAAAGACTAGTCGTAACTTGTAGAAGGCTTCTAGGGCTTCGGAACTTAGTATAACAGTACTAGCGGCGTTACTATAAAAGAGATTTGTTAGTAGTATAGTAATCTTTAAATAATTCTTAATAAAGCGCCTATAAAACCTAGTAAACCCTAAGAAGACACGAATGTCCTTTATAGTTATAAGAATAGGCTATTCTTAGATTATAGAGATACACTTAGGTTTAATACAAACTCTCTATAGGTCGATAACGTATTTAAGAAAACCTACTTACTTTATATTAAACTCGTACTTTAAGAGGTTAGTATAGAGGTTATGTTATTAGAGACGTTTAAGGACGTAGTAAACATACTACGTATACTCTTCTTTATTTGTAGAGTAGATAAGGATATTATTAAGATATATAATACAAATATTATTAATAAGATTCTCTAGTACTTTATTAATAAAGGACTAGAAGGTCGCTAGTACGTTTACTAGCCTAAAAGGCATAACGTAGTATTTAAAGTAGCTATATTAATACTAGAAAGCCGTTTTCTACTTATTACTAGCCTTAATACAAACCTAATAGTACGCTTCGCGTAGGTTAAGCTTAGTGTAGACGCGTGCTTATAATAGCCGATTAAGGATCTTTCTAATTAATAAAATAAGGGCTTAGTTCTTTTTAGTTATACTATTTAACGCCTAGTAGTTAACGTAGAGTTGTAGCTTTCTTCTTTTCTTTAGAACAAATAGTATTAGAGTACTAGTAAGGCTCTTACTTAGACAGATCTATCCTTTTACTAGGGCGTCGTCTAAATATTCGCGTAAGACACCTAGCTTAACCTCTATAAGTAAGTAGATTTAGCTATATAGTAGTACCGCGTCTCTCTTAAGGTTTATTATATAAGTAGGGCTATTAATTATAGGTAGCGATCTAGCCCTTTCCTTAGAGAAGACGTCTATAAATTATTAGTACTTACTAGGTAAGGTCGTTACGGCCTTACTGTCTTCTTATAGTTCCTCTTGTAGTTCCTCTTTACCTAGGGACTCTAGGTCGACTATAATTACTAGGTAGTTGTACTATTGTTACGATTATAAATTAAGCTTCTTTTATTACTTTCCTAATTTCTTTTTTTGTTATATATAGCCGGACTATTAAAGACGACATAAGGTATACAAACGTCTAGGTCTTTTATAAAACGATTAGGTCTATAGCTAAAGGGGCTGTCGAGATCCGCGAGGGCAACAGAGGGCTAGAGGGCTGTCGAGATCCGTAAGGGCAACAGAGGGCTGTCGAGATCCGCGAGGGTAACAGAGGGCTAGAGGGCTGTCGAGATCTGTAAGGGCAACAGAGGGCTGTCAAGATCTGTAGAGGTAATAGAGGCTATAGAGGGCTGTCGAGATCCGCGAGGGTAATAGAGGGCTAGAGGGCTGTCGAGATCTGTAAGGGCAACAGAGGGCTGTCGAGATCTGTAGAGGCAACAGAGGCTACAGAGGGCTGTCAAGATCCGTAAGGGTAACAGAGGGCTAGAGGGCTGTCGAGATCTGTAAAGATAACAGAGGGCTAGAAGGCTGTTAAGAGTAGTCGTAAAGGTAAGGGGCGTTTGTTTACATGTAAATAAAACTAGGTCACGTGATTTAGGGTCTAGAAATCAAAAGTACTCTAAAAAAAAAAACTCTTAAAAAGAATCCTTAAGTTTACTAAAATAAAGTATTATAACTTAAGTAAGCTTAAGCTTAGCTTAATAGATCTTAAGAAAGCTTAAGTAAATCTTAAGAAAGCTTAAGTAAATCTTAAGAAAGCTTAAGCTAGCTTAAGAATATCTTAAGCTAAACTTATAGCTTAAGCTTACTTAAACTATACTTTACCTTATCTTAAGCTTACTTAAAGCTATCTTAATCTTATCTTAAGCTTTCTTAAGTACTATAAAGACAGCAGGTAAGTAGTTAGACTTATTCTAAACAAGAATTAACGCTAAGTAATAGTCTATAAGATATATAAACAGGCTAATCTATACTTTACCTAGTTTAAAGAGTATATCTTATATTGTTTATACTAAAGTATTATATTTAACTAGTATTACTACTATTATATATAAGAGAATTATTATACCCTCTTTTATAAGTATAGTAGTAGTAGCCTTAGTCCTCCTTAAGTCTATATAAATGTTAATCTTAATACTATAAGACTATATAACTACTATCTTTTCTAATATCTATAGATTAATACTCTTTAAGCTTATAATATCTATACTAATAATTAGGTTTACTAATAGTATATTAACTAAATAGACTTTATAGACTATATATACTTATACTATTTTTCTATCTTAATATACTACTAGTAAAAAAAAGCCTTAGAAAAAAGTTTGTCTACTAGCCTCTTACTACCTTAAAAACTTAAAAACAAACAATAGATTAGAATTAGCGTCTTTAGATACTCCTTAAAGCGCTAGTAAACTATAGGTAAGCCTATAGTAACATTAAACAGATAGTAGGTATACTAGACTCAAATAAAGCTAGTATTACCTACTTATAAGTAAGAGCTAGTACTCTTATTCTTTAGTAAAAAACTATAGTAAAGAGCTAGTAAGTAGTAAGAGTAATAGTAATAATAAGATAGAGATAATTTTATAAAGAATTAAGGCTTACGTAATACTAGGTAAGAAAGAAGAGGTGTTACGCCTCTTATACGACCTTATTATAATAATAATAATATTATTATTATTATTCTTACTACCTATGCCTAATGTATATAAAACCTCTATACTATATAAATCACGTAGTAAAACTGTACTAAAGCCAGGTAAAAACCTACGTACTACCCTTATTACTTATATTGTTGTAGTACTACTAGGGTACTAGGACCTTATAGTAACCTTACTAGAACTTACCTTTTAGCCTAGTAAAACTAAACATACTAACAAGCGCTAGTAGTATACTAGTAAAGCGCTGGCTGTTAGCTAGGATTACTCTTCTTCTTTCTTAGCTAGGTAGTACTTAGCTAGCCTAAACTATAAGAACCGGCTAGTAGATAGTAGCTAACAGATTAGTATACACGCGCTCTTTTCTCTTTTTATTACTATTATAAAGTTATAAAACGTCTATAACGCCCTTAGGTAAAGTACTTACTATAAGGCCTGCTACTACTAATTAAGCTACTAGTAGTTAAGGACTAGGTAAGCTACTATCTCTAGGGCTTTACTATAAGGATACTAAGGAGTTACTACCTCTAGTACTCTACGTTTAAAAAGAAAAGCCTAGAGTCTAACCTTACTAGTACGTATTTACGTTAAAAGAGAGCTCTTATACTTATAAAAGAGTAAGTACTTCTTAAGAGTATCTACTAATAAGGTAGGTAGTATAGCTAGGGTAGTACTCTAGTAGTATACTAGTAAGCTATTGTATTAGGCTTATTACGCCTTTTAGTTTTCTTATAAGGTCTTCTCTAAGAAAGAGTCCTTATACTAGTCCTTTACTTATACGGCTTAGCCTACCTTATACTTAAGTAACGTATAAAGTAGTACTATAGTAGTGTTATAGTAGTGTCTTTAGTGTTATTAGAGGCAGGTCGCTACTCTATTATAAATAGACTATATAAGTTAGTTTGTACTTATACGTTTAAGACGTTATTTAAAGTCTACTACTTACTTATTAAAGTAAAGGTTAAGTAGAGGTATAGCTATTTTAGACTTAAGGAACTAGATAAAAGTCGCTTAGTATACCCTTATAATAACGTAAAGGTACTATAACTACTTTATAGTAAGGTCCTTTATAATCTCTTTAGCCTACTACCTAAAAGAGTAGTACTAGACCCTTATACTATACGCTATAGTACTCTAGATTACCTTTATATAGATTTTCTTTACGTATAGTAAGCTATATCCTTATATAGATATAGTAAGCCTAGTAAGTATAAACTACCTACTAAGTAGTAAACTTTTGTTTAATAACATTAAGGTAGCCCTTTTATTTAAGTTTCTAGTCTATCTATACCTTTAGAAAGTAGGCCTCTTAGACTAAGGGTATAACCTAGCTATTAAGGTAGACAAGTGTTATTAGTATAGTATAGGTATAAGTAAGGTAAAAGAGCTTACTCTTTTTAAGAGTAAACTCTATTCTTCTTATACGTAACTACTAGCTATATGTCTACTATACCTCTTTAAGGTACTAGTATATTTCTATTATATCCTTACTAAATACTAAGAGGTTAAGGTCGTTAGTAAACCTTACTATAATAAGGCCTATGTGTCTTTATAGTAGTACGTATAAGCTAGTAGTATAAAGAAGAAAGAGGATAAGAAAGAAGGGCAAACCCTATAGTATTCTTATAGTAACCTTTTAGAGCGGCACTACTTTTTATTAAAGAAGAGGCTAGCTATCTAGTTAGTAAGAAAGCTATATATCTACTATATAGCCTATATAAAGAACCCTAAGTATTAAAGAGTATAAAGAAGGTACATATAGTTTACTATATTAAAGGCGCCTTTAATATTAAGTTAAAAGAAGGTTGTAATAGCCTTATAACTTTACGCTATATATATAGCGTTAACTACTATTTTAACTACTAGGTCTATTAAGCTCTAAGGCTAGTTCTTTATTTACGTCTTTAAGAAGAGCCTTTACGACTTTATAGTGTTAGTAAAGTACTAGCTAATAACTAACTTAATTACCTTACTTATCACGTTTAAGAGTAAGATTAGCCTATAGGCCTTAGTTATTTATTACTATTTAAGGGTCTTTTTAGGCTTATATAGTACTACTACTTTTACTACTTTAAACTATATAAGTAAGTACTTTAGCTAAAGGCTTACTATTACTATTATTATAAAGAGCTTAGCTAAAGGGTACTTATATACCTTAAAGAAGCTAGTAGGTAGTAGGTTAGGCCTTAGTACTTTCTAGGCCCTTGTCTTCTAAAGGACGTCTATAATCTCTACCTTTATTATAGTATTATCTATAGTAAACTACTAGTATTACTTATTCTAAAGGTCTAGAATAACGTTACTAAGATTAGCTACTAATTCTAAAAAGAACTATTAACTTAATACTACTACTTTATTATAGTAGCTTATAGCTAGTACCTTCTTATTAGTGTCCTAAAGAGGTAAGAGTAAGGCTAGTTCTAAAGATATATAGCTATAAAGTCTAGCCTACCTCTTAAGATTCTAGAGTTACTATTAGTCCTTTAAAGTAGTAGTAAAGGCACT